ATAATGGCGTCGGTAAAAAAGACGCACAACCAACAGGAACCAGCCAACAGTATCTGAGGTGTTCGCTAAAATGACTAAGTACAAGTTGAGTGAAAGTTTGAAGCAGTCTACTGATCCTCTGACTGCCTGGACCTGCTGTTTCGAGAGCATGGCTGTGTGTGCGTCTGCGTGTGTGTGTGTCAGAGGTAGAGAGGAAGGAGGGCTGCTCAGAAATGCTACACGCCACAATGGATGTCAAATTGTTGTCGTTCTAAAATGCCATTTAAAAACAAAGACAGTGTAAACAGGGCCTGAGTGTGTACTTTTCGCGAGCGGATTTGCAACGGGGGCAGGCGGAGGATCACGATGCTGGTGTTGTCTATCGGACGAACCGTACGTAATACGTAACATAGCAGAGCTTGCAAAACTTTGTTTTTTTTGGTCGACAACACGAACATTGTCAACATAACTCACTAGAAATCCAAAATGCTTACACACCGGCGACTTCATTGAAAGAGGAGAGGGTTTAAGTTCTGTCGATGGGTCTCCTGCTACTGCAGTTTAACAAGCACTTCAACAAGCCTGTTTTTTCCCGCTTGGCATGCCAAGCTGACGTGACATGGGGGCGTGGCAGCATCAACAATTCTATTTTTTGATTCGATAATCGAAATTGAGCATAAATTTCGATCGATTTCGATTAAAATTAAAATCGTGACACCCCTAATATATATATATATATATATATATATATATATATATATATATATATATATATATATATATATATATATATATATATATATATATATATCCTACATGTGTATGAATGTATTATTTTAGCTGAGTTTACAATGTTGTCGTGAGACTGCTGCATTCCTGGCCTACATTTGCTTCTAGCTTAAATCCTGTCTTAAACTAAGTGAAATCTGCCACCTCCAGTGACCACGTTATGCACATTTCTTCTTCTTTTTGTTCTTTCCTTCGGCTCACATTGGGATTTTGGGAAATAGTACTTCAAATCAGAGTGGATTAAAGGGAATAAATGTATAAAGAATTCAGAGCATTAAAATGATGGGCACCTACTATAGTACACTATATAGTGGATAGGGAGTGGACTTTAGACACAGCTGCAGTGATATGAACATTGGTGTACAGAGTCCTTATCTTTTGGAAGTGCAGGCAAAGTGGATTTGCTTTCAAAGCACAGAAAGTGAATGAGACTGGAATACTGATGGCTCAGTTTCCTGTAGTTTGGGAGATAAAAAATATGAATCATGCACTTTACTGAAACTTTACAGACTTTTTACATTCACAAACAGATATTTCACACACATTATAAAAGACAATGTCTAAAAAGCATAACAGGGGCATTTTTGGAAGAAGAAAAAAAAGCATGTTTGTTGGAACAGATTTTTGATGTTTTCATGTTTGAAGATGCATTATGTATTGGTTGGATGAATAACATTTATTAATCCTTAAAAAAGTGCTATGGGAACTTTTTACAAACATTTACGCAGAAGGTGCACAGAACACTTTAGTAAGGAATTAAATAATCTCTAACTTTCGTCTTTGTAAAAAATGTTGCAGCATTCACGATGCTGAACATGTTGTTGATCCTCTTGAAAAAGGCACATATTAAAAGTTAAAGCCGTATATTTATGAGCATCTGCATGACAAAATTCAAATAATGCAAACATGCCACTGAACAGCAATATATCTACAGGAATCAAGCGCACATTTTCAGACAAGAAAATAATATAAGTGGAGGTTCAGATATCATTAAAGCAAAACGATGGCTTTGCTTTGCACAGGTGTCTGACATGATGAGATTAAATCAATGATTAAAAAGATTAATCATTAGCATAAGGTAATAAATAAAGTGTCCGGTGAGTGTAAAATGCAGCCATATGTACCCGCAAGCACATATTTCTTGGTTATCAACAATGTACACCAGTGCACATTTGCTCATTGAGCCTGTTGTTGTTTTTGTTTTTTTTAGCAGAAGTCAAGGACTGATCTTTTTAATTTGATGTGTTACTGAGAATTATTATGTATCCTGCAAAGTTTTGACAATTTAGTGTTATTTTATTTAAAATAAAAACAGCATCTATAGGTTTTTTTTCTCTATTTATGAAAGGACTATTGAATCATTGTTTGATCAGTTTATTAAACTGCTTAAAAAGTGAACCTAATCTATTTTAATTAAAGTAACAACCATTATTCCATAAAAAAGTGACTAATCATATTAAACTATCGGAATAATGGGCTCTGGAGAATAAGATTTTATTCATGAATTCTCTCAGTGATCTGTAATTAAGGCTGATGAGCTTTTTAAATCATGAAATATCAGATTAACAGTTTAATAATTGAGTAATCAGTGCAGTCTTTGTAATTAACTGCTGTGAAGGTCTGATTCTGTATTAGCTTCTGATGTTTATCTCATCTAATAGATGACCTTGTTCATCTCATCACAGATAAATGGAGTCGTTAGTAAATGAGCAGACAGTGATGTCACTTGGCGAGGTCTCTTGACATCATTTCCTCAAAATACAAAACACTTTGAACCTTATCTGCGTAATTACAGCAGTTATAGTTGGTACTGCTTTCATCATATGGTTTGACAAAAATGAAAAGGCAATATTGACGGTTCTGACCATTTTGTTTGGTATAATGAAATCTAAAGTGTTTGCAATGCTTAAAGGCTTCAGTTTGACTGTATGGGTTTTTCTGACAGCTCCGCTGCTTCTGTTTGTCTGGCTCTTGATTTTTTTGACTCCTCTCAGTGTTGAATTATGTGCAGTTTTGCCTCTTTTGCTGCTGTTAATGGACTTTGTAAGGCTTTCCCGGTTTTATGATCCTGTAAATGAAAAGGAAATAAATGTACAGTCTGGGTTGTTTTTCTCATCTATGCAGTTTTGTTTCTTTTAAATCATTTTGGACTAAGTTTTAGTTTTATATTTTAGTAAAAGTTTCAAAAATGTTATTTTGTGTCTGGTTAAAAGATACTGTTCAGAAGTTGTTTTTAACATATTAATTATTTTATTCATTCATATAATCAAAAGTGAGTTTCTTACAGTGTTTTCCATGTTTGGATAAACTGCTGTTCTTTTAAAAGAATTGAATCTATTTATACAAAACAAAAAGGCCTAGGCCTAAGGCCTAAGGTAAATATTTCAAACTGTATCCAAATGAATAAAAAAATAAATGATGAATCTATTTTAATGAAAACATAAGAGTTTCTTTTAAGTTTAATGCTGAATACTCTAGTCAAGCTGCACCTGCCTTTGCCTTCATTTGCTTACTGAGGACTTCCGAATTGGGGTCTATCCATTGAGCAACAGTATGTTCATTTTTTATTTTTTTTATTTATTTAGATTTATTGGATTCATTTACAACAGTTAATTGAAACATTTAATTTATTTTATTGTAGCTTAAAAATAAAACTAGCAAATGAAAGGTTGTGTTAAATTAGAAATGACAATCTGTATAATATATTAAAAAGCGTTAACCCCAACCCTCCCCCAAACTCTCCCTCTCCTCTCAAATGGGATGGCGGGCCAAATTAAAGGTTACCATGGGCCAACTTTGGCCCACGGGTCCTAGTTTGGGCATCTCTGAGTTAGAGCAATACGTTTTTTTCGCTGTTATTTTATTTCTCAAAAGGGTTCCCATAGATTATGACTAGTGAACTCCTTTGAAATTATATGAGCGTTATTTGTAATTAAAATTAAACACTCTTTACAAAACTTAAGTAAACTTAAACATTAAAAAAGATACTATTGAGAATTCTGTGACTTGATTAATCTCATTTGAAATCTTAATGTATTCAACCAGAAATATAAACTGTTATCAATAACTCATCCTCCATTAGTTTCAAATCTGAGTTATTTTTCCGTCTGTTAAACCAAAGACTAAAGAATACACAAGACATGTCACTCGTATCTTTTTGAATGGGGAAAAGTGTGACTGTCAATATGGTAAATAAAGCCCCGCCTACTAGTTCAGAAGCCAATCACTGATGGCTATATGGCGAATAAAGCCTTCGTTCTAGTACAGGAGCCAATCATTAATCGCTATAGAATGACAATTTTCAAGGGGAGGGGTTTGGACCAAACATGAGTTTCTGCCGATTTTTTGTGATTTAGATGTTTAAAAATTAAACTAAAGACACAGTTGTTGTTTAATTTTATTGGTGATTCCAATGAAATGTAATCATAAGCTTGGCAAGCCGTTTTGAAGAATTTGATGTTTCCCCTTTCAGAGAGAATGCCTAAGCCTACTGCCCAAGAAGTGTTTCAAAGATGGCCACCAAATGAAATGACTTGCCTTAAAGGGATTTTGGTTAAACACAAAAGAAGATGTTTTGAAAATTGCTGAGAACCAATGTAGCCATAGACATCCATAGTATTTTGATTCCAACGGATGTCAGTGGCTACTAGTAAAAGTCAGTTTAAGGCAAGTCATTTCATTCTGCCATCTTTGAAACGCCTCTTGGGCATTATGCTTGGGCATTCTGTCTGAATGCAGACACATTGAATATTCACGATTAAAATTCATATTATGAAACAACAATGACATTAGGCAACAACTGTCTCTGTAGTTTAATTTCTTAATGTTTGAGTCACACAAAATCTGCTGAAATTCACATCTGGTGCAAGCCACTCCCCTGGAGAAATGTTAGTCTATAGCAATCACTGATTGGTTCTTGTACTAGAGGCGGGGCTTCATCCGACATATTGACTGTTACACTTTTTCCCCATTCAAAACCATACAAGTGACACGTCATGTGTATTCTATAATCTTTGCCACTAGTTTGCAACATTCTTTGGATTTTTTTTTTGTTGTTCAAAAGCAAAAACTCCTAAAAGTTTGAAGCAAATGGCAAGTAAACTCTCATTTTTGGACGTATGAAAATTATTCCTTTTTTCCCCTGAAAAACTCAGAATTTCCTTTCTAAATATTTTAAGTGACTTTTTCCCCATTAACTATGATTTGACCTCTTTGTGAATATCTCTCTTCAGGATAAGTTATGCCTGCCGCATCATATCCTGGAGGAGAAGGGACTGATCAAAGTTGGCATCACTGTCCAAGCTTTGCTGGATGAGACGTCCATCAACCAGACACTCTTCACATGAGCATCACACACACACAAACTGACACAATCACAAACACACACTAATCCCTGTAGATGGACGAGCAAAGAAACTCCCTGGACTCTCTCCATTTAAAACAGCCAGTCCTCAGATACAGGTATATGCTCATGCTTTTCTGACTTCTTATTTTGTACTGTTATCTGATCACTCTGGCCATAGAAGTATATGCAAAACTAGCTCAAAACTATCTGGAGATATGCAATTCCTTAATTTAATACATACATATATTTATTAAATAGCTAGTTGAGAGATGTACACAACTGTGCACAATTCCTGATGGTTGTATTTTATAGATATCTCAGTAGGTTTATTTTTTATTTGCATTTGGGCCTTTAGTGATCTAGATTTAAAACACTCGTGCTCTCAGAGTCTTACAATATGTGACTTGTTTTCAACCACTTTTAAACTTGTTTTTTTTTGGGAGGGGTTGATGTTTTGTCTCAGGGGAAGTGTGGCCTCATCATTGTTTCATAGTCTCTGCTCTGCTTGCCTGTTCGTCAGATCACTAAAAGGTATGTTGCAGTGTGTATACTATGGAAGATTGTTTATTATTTATAAGACAACTGACATTTTATCTCTTCAATTTCATAGTTTTTGTCTCACCATAATTATTTTTTTTTCAGAATTGCAATCCTTGAATTTTTTTACGGTTGTAAATCTCAGCTCAGAGGAAAATTAAAGATTGTGAGACTGTATCAATTGTGAATAGGACAGTGGAATTGCAAAATCCAAAAAGTTGTGATATGCAGTAAACTAAATTTTCATTCTGAGATTTGAGACATATCTTATTTTTTTGCTGTTTATATCAGAATTCAGAGCTTAATCAGATAAACTCAGAATTGTAATAAACCATATTTCTCACATTTGTTGTGCAATTGTTGCAGTTGTGGTGAAAAATTTGTAATATAAGCTAAATTCTGAATTAGAAAAGTTTGCAGTTCTGACTCTCTCTAAATTCAGATATCATTACATTTCTGAATTTACTTCGTCTTTTTTCTGTTAGTTTACTGTAGATAACAGAATTTTTAAATAAGAATTTCAATGTTATAAACTCTCAAATATAAAAACTGTAAGGTGCCATTTAGAGAAAACAAAGTTTCAGAATTACAAAATGTTAACCCAAAATACAGTTATAAACTGAAATCTGTCCTTTTTTCTAAACTTTGAGTGAACAAATGAGTTTATGATTTGTTCAAATTGTGAATTTATGACTCAAAGAAAGATATTGACTTTAATATTAACTCATAAGTTTATAAACTTATAAATTGCTATATATTGTGTTGTGGTTTGGAAAACTGCAAAACTTAAAAATATTGCAAACAAAACTTTTTTCCCTCAGAATTGTGAGTTAGTTCTGATGTATTGGTAAAAAAAAAAAAAAAAAAAAAATTGTGCCATATAATCACAATCTTAGAAATTCACTTAAAAATAAATACTGTTTAGGGTGGCATAAACATGATTCCATAGTGTACAGCAGAAGCAACATATAGTTTTTCATCTGTGTAAGTGTGACTGAAAGTGAGAGAATGAGAGCAAATGTTTGCACTTTTTGTATGTAGTTTGTGTGACTTTTTTTTTTTATTTTACTTTGTTTTACTTGTGCATATTTTCTTACATAAAGTCTGATGTCCAAAGCTTCAGCTCCTCATAGATTCAGCCATAATAACAAACCAAAAACAACTGAAGCTGGTATCTCACTGGACATTATTTGACAGTTGCCAAAATGTTCATATCAAACTGACTTTCAGACCTAATAGTTTTATACATTGCTGTTTTGTTTTTTTTAAACGATTTAAATATATTTTAAATATAAGATTTTTGTATTTGTAGAAGGGTTTGTAATGTGATAATGGTGTGTGAATGTGCAAAATGTACAGACCGTTTATATTTGATGTGTGTATTTTAGTAGGAGTTGATCTGATTTGGTGTTAATTTTATGCAGTATGTTAATGTGAACTGACAGGGCAAAAAAAGAAACTTTGTTATGATCTATGTTCTTGCTTTGAAACCATTAATAGCACTTCTATATATCATTTCAGAGAGAGTCTGTGATATCTATGAGAATCATCTACATTAAATAATTAAAAATACAACAGATCTCTATCTCTGTACTGAAATTTCAAGCAAAAGGGATCTTTTTTAATCTTTACCAAGACGTAATTTGACACCAATATTTTATTATTTTCAAAACCAAAAATGTCACAACTTGATTAAAACAATTGATATACCTGTAGATAAATATGGGTTGGAAAGTGTAATTTCTAGTCTTTGAGGGAAGCTTTTCTTTTAATAATTGTATAAATTTACTGCTGTATCTTTTGAGAAATTATATTTAGGTTGTCCTCGAGCATTAGGGGAAAAACACCCATTTAAATTTTAGTTTTATTAAAGTTGTGCATTAGTACTGTAATATCCACATTCCCCACCACTTAAGAGAAAACAGTGAATAAAATATGCTAGCTAGATAGATTAATGCAGATTTGATTTTGAAATGACAGTGTTTTGCACTTTATATATTGGGAACTGTCTTTTTTGGCAACTGGCAAATAGTATTGTGCACAATATTTATATTACAGTATTTGTAGAACATGCATCGGCTGATCTGATCACTAACGTGTTCGGTAAATCCTTTTACAATGGGATACAAATCTTTACCTGCTGAATGTTATGTGGCTATTTTGTCTACTTCCGTGATGTATAAAGAGAAAAGGCTTGTAACTAAACATTTTTTTGTACTTTAATTTTTATAAATAGGAATTATTTTTCCATGTCTTTTCAGTGTTCGGGTTTTTACCTCTTTGTAATTCTGTGAACTTCTAAGTGCATGTACAGTGCAGGTTCATGCATGTTACTCCACCTTTTGCCTTAACCTCTGTAAATAAGGTTCATTTGTACCAACTTCTGCCAGTAAATACTTTCACCTTCAAAGACTAGTCTTTTTTTTTAATCTTTAACAAACAGTATACAGTTAAAGTCAGATTTATTAGCCCCCATGTTTATTATTTTTTTCTTTGATTTCTGTTTAACGGCGAGCAGATTTTTTTTAAACACATTTCTAAACATAATAGTTTTAATAACTCAACACAAATAAGACTTTCTCCTGAAGAAAAAATATTGTTAGACATACTGTGAACATTTCCTTGGTCTGTTAAACATCATTTGGTAAATATTTAAAAAAGAAAAAAAAATCAAATGGGGGAGCTAATAATTCTGACTTCAACTGTACTGTACATGATGCATTGTTGTTATCTGCTATTGAATCAGAATTGTTTTTGCATTATCTAGGGTGTGTTCACTTATTTACTTGTTTCACATGATTTGTTTTGTCAGAAACAGTCAGACTGTTTTTGTCAGACTTAAAACAGAAAGCATTACATTTACAATACAGTACTGCAGCATTTACTCTGCAACTTTAAACATACTAAACAAAAGAATTGTGCTTGCCAAACATCTAAAAACAATGCTGTGTGCTTAGATAAACATTTTGTGTGTGCATTTAAATGTAATGGTATTTTTTATCACTTTAAAAGCTGTAAAAGTCTAATCAGCAGCAGGAATTGCACATACAAATGAAGTTCTGCTTAAATAAAAGTGTCCAATATTTGTGCATGTGCAGAACCATAGAAAACTGTGCATTTATGAAGTGTGCTTCACACTGGTGAGTGGGTTTGACAAACCACCTGCAGAAACACTCTTCTCTATATTTTTCTTTTAAAACAACAACAAAAAACACTCCCCCTAATAATAATTAATAATAATAATTCCTTACATTTTATATAGCGCTTTTCTGGGCACTCAAAGCTCTTTACACAATGGGGGCAATATCCTCATCTACCACCAGTGTGCAGCATCCACCTGGATGACGCGACGGCAGCCATTTTACTAGCCACACACTAGCTGATTGGTGGAGAGAAGAGTGATGAAGCCAATTATGATACGTCCTGGGATTTTTAATCGAACACAGAGAGTCGGGAACTCTGTTTAACGTCTCATCCGAAAGACGTTACTTAATTCTATTCTTCTTGAATTTTTGAATGCCTTATTTGGCATTAAGTGTCTGCTAAAAAACTAAATGTCCTGACTGAAAAAACAGGTAAGCTTGGGCATTTTATTTTTATGGTCGCATCTTGTTAATTCACACTTTTTTATTTAATTTTTTTTATTGTTGGATACTTATATTAGTTAAAACATGCCAGTTTGTTTTCAGGGTTTAAATAGCTGTTCACACATGAAATTAATGTGTTTTGGGAGTATTGTGGCTGCAGGGCACAATTAAAAAAAATAATAATAAATAAAATTTAAAAAATATATAGCATTATTCAAAAGAATTTTTTTCTGTGTGTATTCATTTCTTAGAATTTTTCAATGTTTTTTTTTCTCTTGATTTTTCTCTTTTTAAAATTTGTATTCAATATTTTTCTTAAACAAATGTGGCTGTATCTAATGTATATGCAAAAATAAAATATTGTATGGCTTCCTATTAAAAATATGAATTTAAAAGAGAGATTTGTAAGGGAGTAAACTTAAATATGCTGAGCACTGAATATGGGAGATAAGTCTAAATAATCACAGGCTTTGCTTATCCTATATGAATGTGCCACATAAAAACTAGATGTAAGGGTACTAATCACTTGTAAATAGGGCTTTAATCAAACCAAACCTGGCAAAGTGTGAACACCCTTACTGTTTAATGAGGATTAATTGATACAACAGCTCATACAGCAATGTTCTCAAACTCCATTCCTAGAGGGTCACAGCTCTGCATGGTTTAGCTCCAACCACCTTAAACTCACACCCGCTTAATAGTCTCTAGTAGTCTTGAACCTTGATTAGTTGGATCAGCTGTGTTTGATTAGGGTTGGAGCAAAACTGCAGAGCTGCGGCTCTCCAGGAATCGAGTTTGAGACCTACAGTGTGTCATACAATAATTTCCATGGAGCCATTCGCAAAATGTGTACAACCCCAAAGATCAACACATACAAAATTCACAACCACAAGCCTTTATTTAATGAAATATAAACATCTCTACAGCTAAACGTGAGCCTGTTAATATTCCGTATGAAAATACAGAGGGTTGTAATTTAAGGGCTAGTGAAGCAATCGAGATGTGGCTCTAATGCGATTTCCAGATGTGTAGACGGATGTTGTTAGAAACAGGAAGGCACAATGGCTGTTTGCCATATTCACGTCACACTGATTCAGGCATTCAGATACTTGGCATGATGCTTGATGTGGTCGTTGATGAAGGAGAAGATGAAATAATAGCTGTGATCATACCCCTGATAAAACAAAAAGAAAAACAAGATAAAATGAATAGTGCTTATTTTGTATGTCTGGCCACATCTGCTTGTTTCTGCAAATATCTAATCATTCAATTGGCAATGGCAAGAAATTCTGCTGAAATATAAACCCAGGCATATTCCAGGCAATTTTGAACACAATTCTGAAATTTTTTTGAATGTCAGCTTTTCCATTTAGTCTGCCCTCATGAGGGAATCAAACATCAGAGCAACAAATTAATTGAAATAAACTTTTGAATGTTTATGTCCTCACCGCACCAAAGTAAAAACAGAAATAGGCACACACTAGGTTCATGAAGTGCAATACTAAACAATATATATTCCAGAATGCACAGAAACAATTAAAAGCACATTATATTCTCTTCATATAGTTGTGAGATACAAATCTGATTAGAATTTTTTTCATCTTCACTTCCTTTCCATCCGAGCTTTATGGTGTAAATGCACCTATGCTGGCCTTAGACGAAAAAGAAGAAGGGTGTGGTGTGTTCACACTATGCATTAGAATTCTCAAGTCTTTGCTGACCAATTGAACAGTATAGGGCAGGGGTGCTCAACCCTTTTCCTGGAGATCTACCTTCCTGCAGATTTCAGTTGCAACTCTGATCAAACACACCTGCCTGTAATTATCAAGCACTGTTCAGGTCCTAACTAATTGGTTCAGGTGTGTTTGATTAGGGTTTGAAGCTGAACTCTGTAGAAAAGTAGGGCTGCGTCCGAAACCGCCTACTACTCAGTAGGTGTGCATATGAATTTAAACGAACTACTTGGCCGTTAGAAAAGTACGTTCTATACAGTATGAATGTGAAAAGTATGAATGGAATTCGGAAGAACTACATCCGCCATTTTATCATGGTCACGTGACCTACCTGCGTCAGTTGCGTCGCTTCACTTCCATTCATGAATTCTCTCACGGGGCATTATAGGATAGCGCAGCGTGCATGGAATGCGCACTCCAGAATCTCGCCGGAACTAGTAAGTCATCCGGGTACTTCTCGCATACTGATTTTCGAATTCTATGAATTTGGACATACTACTCGGCTCGCATACTGATTTTAGCGTACTATATAGTATGGAAGCATGCGGTTTCGGATGCAGCCTAGATCTCCAGGAACAGGGTTGAGCACCCCTGGTATAGAGTGTGCACAAGAATCGTAAGCTGTCTGGTTGGTTTGAATATTTCAGAATCTGCTAATCTACTTGGATTTTCACACATAACTATATTTAGGGTTTACAGAGAATGGGCTAAAAAGAGAGAAAAAAAGCTGTGATTAGCAGTTCTGTGTTTACAAATAAGTTATTGATGCCAGAGGAAACTGAACTGAGCAGATAGAAAGTCAAGAGCAGCTCAAATAAACATTTGTTACAACCAAAAAAGAGCATCTTTTGCTGAACATTGAACACATTGGATTAGTCATGGGATGAAAAATAAATATTAAAACAACAAAAAAATACCTATTTATTTGTGAAGTTATTCTTGTGCAAACGCAGATCAAACTCGGGTACTGTATGCTATAGTTAGCCCTACATGCAGTGCTTCTTGTTCAGTATATGGTGGTTCAATACTGACCTGCTGAAGACGGAAAACCACAGGGATTTTCTTCTTGGAGCAGGCAGCGATGAGATTATCAGGCAGAAGCTGACTTGCAGAAAGAAACTGGTCATCACGGCCTTGATCAATCAAAATGTCAAGCTCAGGACCGGAATACGACTCAGCCAATACAGTAGCATCATATGCCTGTGAAGATAAATGTTACAATGAATCAGGAACCAGTTGAAAATCGATTAAAATACTTGACGATTCAAATCAGTCGAGATGTCAAATAAATCACAATTAGAACAATTTATATAAATGAATGTCTAAAGGGTACAGACTGTTAGAAAAGTTGGTATTTTCTGTTATTGTGCCTCTAAATGACACATTATAAAGTAGCTATATATTACGGTGAAGTAATAAGTGTTCATAAGGGAAAAGTTGTTTACAGCAAAACCCAGGAAACACTATCGCTGCTGTTTATATGCGCCACCTGCTGGCAGAAGATGAATCTGAACGTCTCATTCAGCTCATCTGCTATTTCCTTCATCATATTATGAGAACAGTTTCACAAAACTTAAGTCCATTCTGTTTTTGCTTTATATTTTAAAAGTATACAGTCAATTTTAGAGATAAAGTCTCATGCTGCCAATTTTTTTGGATCACGATTAAATGTAGTGGTTGCCTCTTTTTGTTTAGTGAAGAGATACTTCACAAAAAAATATACATCACCCTCAAGTGGTTCCAAACCTTTATGAGTTACTTTCTATTGTTGAACACTTTAGAAGATTTTCTAAAAAAAAGCCATTGACAAAGTCAATGGTTACCAGCTGTTTAAAAAAAAAATTGTGTTTTGTTCGCAACATAAGAAAAAGTCAAACAAGTTCATAACAAGTACAGGGAGAGTAATTGATGATAGAATTTTCAGCTTGAGATGAACTATTCCTGAAAAGTTGAGTTCTTTTTTATATTTAGCTATTGTAATTTTACAAGGTAACATGCTGATGCTGCAGAACCGTCCCCCTGAGGGTAGCAGAGAGAAAAGTCCATGGCTTGGGTGGCTGACGATTCTTGCGGTGCATGAGGAAAGCCAAGAGAGTCATCAGCGACTCCAGCCACCCAAGACACTTTTCTCTCTGCTACCCTCAGGCAGATGCTTCCACAGCATCCGGTCACACACCAGCCAACTAAAGAAAAACTTCTTCCCACAGACTATCATATATTGTGTTGTTTTTTGGGAGCATGTTGTTGTATTTACAATGTCTGAAGGCAGCACCTAAGCTTTTTTCTTATCATAGCACACATGCTGTTGATGATTTGACAATAAAAGTGATTTGATTTGATTTGATTTTGCAGCAATAAAATTGTAAAACAAAATCTAAAAAAAACTAATTGAAACAAATTGTGAGTTCATAGAATCTTTACATCCTGTAAATGGCAGAAATATTTTACCACAAGTTCTTTTAAATAGGGTATATGCCGAGCTAGTGTTTTTCCCATACTAATAAACTTCCGGTGACCTGTTATTGTGAGTTTTTTACCATTTTATACAATTGCTTTTACAGCATCCAGGGGTGAACTGGCCATCTGGCAGACCGGGCAGTTTCCCACTGGGCCAGGCTGATCATCGTCTTAGATCTGAGCCCATAAAAGGCTTAGCAGCCTATCGTTTTTTCTGCCTTATGAATTGAGGATGCTGTGATCTGTGATTCTCTGAAAGTAAGATGCTTTTTTTTCAGACAGACAGACCGGGCCAACCCAAATGACACTCTGCAGCCCATTGGTTATTTTCTGTATTGACATTGGGCTGGCCCAATCACAAACTCTTAGAATTTTGGGCTCTGTGTGAGTGTGCAACGTCGGTGTGTATTTGTCAAAATAGTCGAGAGTCGAAGAAAAGAAACGGAAGGGAGGCCCAGAGAAATTCCGGTAAACACACTGGTGTTTCATTTAGCGGTTCTGAAAAGTTCTCCATTCATACTAGTACATGGCTAAAAACGCAAATCACGTGACCACACACTCTCTGCCTAGAGCTGCAGCCAGTAGTTCAACGGGTGCTTTGAGCATAAAACCCCAGGTGAGAGTAAAAGACATGTCGGACAGTTCATCAAAGATCTACTGCTGGATCTTATCTCACGATAGCTGTTAAACGTGATATTGAATTCATCTTGTTGTCTCTATCTAAGGACTCTTCTGTCTTTTGAATCACTTGTTCTCAGGTAACTCTGTTTTGGCTGAGTGCAAAGATAAGATAATATATCAATTTATGTAACCACGTACACTGATTCTGCACATTGACTGATTGCTTACCTTTATAGTATAAATTTATTGTACGCTATACTGTTATAATGGCCATTATTGATTATTAAAACTGATATTCTGCAAAAGAGACAGGGTAAAGTTCGTTCTTTTCAATGAAAATGAAAGGAGGCAGTTATATTATCAGCCCTGATTTGTTATTAATATGCAGAGTGAAGATGACGGTCATATAAATATGCAGCTACACAAGGCCGTTTGGTGTCTGTTAATCATAAAATCAAAATGAAACAAATTTCCTTACATTATGTTTTCATTGTTAAGAAAGCGAAACAGCAAGCAGGATGAGGTGAATGAGGTTATAAAGTACACTGCTGCCTTGGAAGATTTACCCATGCATCAACAACCAGTTTTTGTTATGTTTATGATTTAATATAGGTTGAGTGAATAGTGTATAGAATAAGCTAAATTGGCTGTAGTGTATGAGTGTGTGTGTGTGTGAATGAGTGTGTATGGGTGATTTCCGATGGGTTGTGGCTGGAAGGGCATCTGCTGCATAAAACATGCTGGAATAGTAGGCAGTTCATACTGATGTGGAAACCCCTGATAAATAAGGGACTAAGGCGAAGGAAAAAAAATGGATGAATAGTGAATGGATGAATAGCCAGGGCTGATTTTTGCCCCAGTCCAGCCCTGACAGCATTGATGTTGTAATGTCATTAAAATACAACCAGTTGAATAGACTTTGGCATTCTTTTAGTTGCTCAAGCATAAAACGAGACAAAAAGCAGTTTACTTGCACGCGCCCGGCAGTATCGGCAGGCCAGCGCAGAAGCTACATTGAATATACTGGGGTAAAATAAATGTTCATATTATAAAGACATGGCAGGGGAAATATAATTTAATACAGAGCTTCTTGTACAATCTGAGACCCACTTAATATATGATATCACTCAGCCACTGGAGATCGCTGATTTTTAAAGATAACAGACCTTAAACGCGCCGATTTTGCACTGGCATACAGTGCACTGCAAACGATTAATCCAGGTTACTGGCATATTAAAAGTCCTATTAGCATGCTTCAGCATATACCCTATTTAACCCATACTTGGTAGATCTTTTAAAATGTATGCATTTGTCTTCTCTTACCTCCCAGGTAGACTTGTCAGATCCAAGATAGCCAGAAAAAGCTTTCTGTCCCCACGCACACTGCACAGGGTTACAGATGGGTGCAAACGCTGACACAGACTAAAGGCAAGCACACAAACAAATGAAATGTAAAGTTAATTCTGAATATTTGGGCTTCAGATAACTAAATGAAGAAATGCATGTAACATCAAAGGTGGCTTGCCTTATACTTCCCAGGATTCTTAAGTGCACAAATGAGAGCTCCATGGCCTCCCATGGAGTGACCAGAAATGGACATTTTCTCAGGATCAGCAGGGAAGTTTGAATTAATCAGCCGAGGGAGCTGAGAACAGAGTGATGATGAAGAAGAGAGAAAATGTTTAATGTGTCAAAGTTCAATATTTCACTTCAAGTCTTCATATCAGCGCTTATCGGAGTATCATTTTGTAATCCTAATAACTAAAGGCCAAAGTATTAGGCTAATATTCATCATTCTGGTTAAGTAAAATATGTTTTGTACTGTAGAGACGGATTATTAAAGGGATAGTTCACCCAGACTTAAAAAAAAATCTGCATCATTTACTTACCCTTGACTTGATCAAAACAAGTTTGAGTTTCTTTTTTCACAAAAGAAGATATTTCATGAATGCTGGAAACCCGTAACCACTCACTTCCATAGTATTTGTGTTTAGAATCAGAAAGAGAGCTTTATTGCCAGGTATATTCACGCAATTTGTTTTCGTGACAGAGCTTCTACAGTGCAACAGAATTACAGAGACAGATTGACAAGTGTATGTACAGGTATATTACCATATACAACGTTATATGTACATCTGTTATGTGCAGATTGGCAAGTAAAGTTTGTTGTTAAATTAGTGTATATGTGTATAGCAAGTAGTGATGTTTGTTTTACAATTACTATCATAAAGTGTTCATGAGATGGATTGCCTGAGTGAAGAAAACGTTTCTGCATCAGGCTGTTCTGGTGCACAGTGCACTGTAGCGTCAACCAGAAGGTAAAAGTTCAAAGAGGCAGTGTGCCGAGTGTGAGGGGTCCAGAGTGATTTTAGCAGCGCTTCTGCTCGCTCTGGATAAGTACTGTACATTTTTTTGGAGAGTAGGAAGGGTTGTAGCAGTGATTCATTCAGCAGTCCAAACTATCCAACGTAGTCTTCGGAGGTCAGATGACAGACCTCTTACTATGGGTTCCTACTATGAATGTCAATGGTTACAGGTTCCCCAAATTCTTCAAAATATCTTCTTATGTGTTCAACACAACTTTAAACTGGTTTGAAACAAGTCAAGGGTGACTGAAAGATCTTTCACTATTGGGTAAATTAGAATTTCTTGTCAGTTTCTACTGTGAAAAACTCTGTTTCTAACTTCAACAGCAGAAATCAAACAAGAGAAGACATTGCTTTTTTTAAGCTGGCTGTTGTTTCGCCATCAGAAATACGACAGCATGCTGCTTAAGAGGGCAAAGACATCTAAAAATGTACTTTAAAACAGTACATACAGAACTTAACTTTTAAAGTGGATAAAAAAAACTTTTTTTTTTTTGTTCAAAATTGTCCCAAGCAAGATTGAGAGTTGTTGAATAGTTTCAGGAGAAATTTACTCATAAGTTAATGAACAGGCAGAAGTGTATTTTGGGCTTATCTGGGTTTAGAAACATTGCTAACATATCTATAAATTACACACCTCCTCTGTGACATATGAATACATGCGGTAGTTGGTTTTCCAAGGATCTTGGGTAGCATTTACATAAAATCCGGCTCCTGTCCCAAAGTCCCAGCTCTCCTCCTCTCCTTCAATGTTGCAGCCGCCTGAAGAGTGCAGAATTATCTCAATTTATGATCATTTATTTTTGTATTAACAGAGTATACAGGAATCAGAGTCAAATTCAATACATTTTAAGATCTTTTTAAAGACTCTTTCCATACATTTTAAGACCTTAAAATCACTTTAGGTTTCAACTGGAAACCCTGGCGAGATTTTAACTCACAGTATACTTACTAAATATTAATGTAAGAACTAATCCAAAACTAAAACATTATTCATATACTGAATATAAATCTATTAAATCTGGCTAATTCAGCAGGTTGGAGCATATAGAGCTGCAAAAATATGGTGTTGCCTTGATTACTGCAGTAAACAAAGCAGCAGGATGTCAAATCTGGTAATTTCATTGATTTCATAAATTACACAGCATCTTGATATACGCAGATTTAATTCAGGCAAACTTTAGCATACAACCTTACACTGCATAATCAAACATGATATAAAATGTAATACCTTGCAAAATAGCATGTAAGACTTTTTAATACTGTTTAAGAGCCTTAAATTTATCTACATTGACTTATCAACTTTTGATGCTTTTTAAGACCCTGTGGACATCCTGATTAATAAGGCAATATTAGTTTGGATTAACTTGAATGTAACTAATCACAGATTGTACAGCTTGAAAAAACAATGATACCTAGTGTTTTGGCTTACATGGCATAACATTAGCTTACACTGAATTTAAGCTTCTATTGGCTTTTCTCCAAGCAGTGGTATGACTATGTGGTGGGAAACTGTAAGCACTGACGTAAACAGGGAAGTCACAATGCTGTTTGATACTCAGTGGAGACTTTTATTTGTTTATCTATATGTTGCAGTGATGATTTGACTTCCCAAGAGAGCTCTGCATCCACAATCCATCCTGCTGTATTATTATTACTTTCTGGCTCATGTCTCTATAGGATTAGGCAGAGCTGAAATCAGAAATATAACTACGAGGAAAGCTCTCCAGAGGTGGACCAGCGAGTGTATAAATTGTAAATATTTAGGTATTTACGTGGACTGGTGTCTGGAGCTACGATGATGATCCCATTTTCAGAGGCCGCCTGCTGGCTTCCAGCTTTAGTGATGAAGTTTTGCTCGGTGCATGTCAAACCTAAAAAACACAGTGTATGATAAAAGTACATTTTAGAATGTTATTGACATTTAGTGCATTACTGAGATTGTTAAAGATGTAAATGATACATGGGTAAAATACATTTGGTGCACATCAAAATTAATGTGTAAAAAGCGCATAAAATGTAAGTGACGTTAATGTTTTAAATAATTAAAATAAAATATGAATTAAATAACTCAGTTGTCATTTGGAACATTACACACATGCAACCTATTGTCACAATAGAATTATAAGGTTCTATCTGACATTTTTGTCAAAACTGAGTTATTGACATATTCTTATTCAATGGCAACTTATTTACATTATGGGATTCTTTATATAAGTTGTTTAGATTTTAAGACTTTTTATTATTTTTTTAAAATGTTACACAAATTGTTTGCTATATGGAATGTAAAAACTTTGAAGCTCAATATTTCAAAATCATTTAGAACGCAGATAGAATTCCAAGGTGATAATATGCTAACAAACAACATGATATAGTGGCAATAATAATATGATTACAGTCAATTAACAGCCATAATTAATTTATTGTGTCATGATCAAACGAATATAATCATAATAAAATAATTAAACAGGCCTAGTAGAGAATAGAATCGTGCTGAAATACCTGACAGCCAGTATAACACTGGACATTTGGAGCTCTCCGCCTTTGGAGGAAGGTAAATGGCGAACTTCATTTTGCATTTTAACTCGGAGCTGTAAATAAAGTTTAAGTTAAGCTCTTTAACGTTAATGTGAATATTTCGACCAGGGCTATTAATGAAAGAGTCTCTCACCTGTCATGCTCGAACACTTTCTGATATCCACCGCTGCACTTATTAGAAGAAACCTGGGTTAAAGCCATTGCACCGTTTACTGTGTTGAGTAAAAGAAATCAATCGTAGTTATGACAGATCATCGCCTTTCTTTCAAATGAATGTGCTCGCTTGTACAAATATTACGCTGCGAGCTGATTTCAGTTCATATAGTGACATATTAATCGTTTTACGTCAAGTTTTAAGTATCTGAACACCATCTGTAGCTTAAATAGAGTCATTAAACAATAATTCACATTTAGCACACAGGGCTCGTGTGGTTTGCGCATGCGCATTGTTTCTGGCGTGCCAAACTCACAGCACTGATAGTAGGATCTGCAGTGAACGACCCGAAGAAGCGCTTCGGGAAGTTTAAACTGACGCCAGAACATAAACTAAAGAAAGCTGCGTTTTATTTTGGCGGCATGCAACTTTCCTCTGCATGCAGGTTGATGTCCTGGATGTTATTTTGTAGCACTTACCGCTGCAGCTGAGGATTCCGAGTTCAGTGTGACGCCAGATTGAACGTAAGACGCAAAGCCACGCCCCTTGTGCTTTTTCCTGCCTGGTGTGTGCTTCAACGTGTTGGCCAAACAGCGGCGCTCGAGAGGTATGGTTCTCTTTCATTTTTAACTGCCCAAGAAATAAGGTCCAGTATAGCAAGCTGAAAAACAATCTATAAACCCTACAACTTTCCATTTTCGAGCTCTTATTTACAAAAGGGTGAGCTTGACAATCATGGAAAATTAAATCTGCAAAAACAACAAGTAGATAAATATGCACATTCATTTCATTCAGCTTAGTCCCTTTATTATTCTGGGGTCACCAAAGTGGAATGAACGGCCAACTTATCCAGCATATGTTTTTACTGTACGCAGCGGATGCCCTTCCAGCTGCAGACCATCATTGGAATACATCCATTCACACTCTTTCACACATAGCCTACTCAATTCACCATACCACGTCTTTGGACTGTTGGGTAAACCTAAGCACCCGGAGGAAACCCACACAAACTCAGGGAGAACATGCAAACTCAGCACAGAAATGACAACTGACCCAGCCGAGGCTTGAACCAGCGACCTTTTTGCTGTAAGGTGACAGCACTACCTACTGCGCCACAGTCGCCCCTAAATATGCACATAAATAAATTTATAAATAAATCCACAAATTCCTGCATAAATCAATATATAAATAGTGCAGGCAGATTAATATTTAAATAAATTGCATTAATGTAAACTGAAAGTAGATTTTTCCCCCTTTCACACCACACTATTAATTATTTATATATTTATTCATGCCGGAATTTGTAGATTTATACATTAATTAATTTATTTATTTATTTGCATATTTATTTTCTTTATTTTTTATTTATGCAGGAATTTGTGTATTTATTTATTCATTTATTTGCATATTTATTTTTTATTGCTTTTGCAGGTTTCGTCCTCCATAGACAATAGGCAGTTTTAATTAAATTTCAAACATACTTGTACTGATGAAATATAGGCCTTCAAGGTGCACACACAACATAAACACATTCTGACTGTAGCTGCTTTTTAAATACGATGACGATAGCTTACATGTGCTTCTCACGTCATCATACATTCTTCACTATAAAGGCTAGTATTTATTTATTTATTTGAATGTTTATTTTAAATTAATATGTCAGCTGAGTAGGATGTCTGAATGCACACAATTCAGCTGGATGAACAATGTCCAGTTGGCTTGTGCTGTGGTTTTCAGGTGTGCAATCAATTAGTGGAAACTTTTTTAACCCAGAAGTTCATGCAACATGAGAGACAGACAGTCATATCTGAAAATTTCAACAAAAAAAGGTCAAGGAAAGTAAGCCATGGACCATTTTAAGAAAAGTAAGCTGTGGACCATTCTATAACAGAATGTAGAATAGCCTATGTAAATGTTCCTTGGTGTACACACTGTAGGACTAAAAGTTTTAATGACTGATTAAACTTGACTTTGGGGTGTCACGGTGGCGCAGTGGGTAGCACGATTGCCTCACAGCAAGAAGGTCACTGGTTCAAGCCCTGGCAGGGTCAGTTAGCGTTTTCTGTGTGGAGTCTGCATGTTCTCCCTGTGGGTTTTTTCCCTTTGCTCCGGTTTTACCCACAAGTCTAAAGACATGGTACGGGTAAATTGAATAAACTAGTGTCTGTAGTGTATGTGTGTAAATGTAAATGCAAAAATTTCAGTTGCAGCTGAAAGAGCAACCGCTATGATAAGTTGGTGGTTCATTCTGCTGTGGCGACCCCTGATTAATAAAGGGACTAAGGCGAATGAATAAACATGACTTTGTTAATTTTATGGCACAATGCAAATACAAACTGTTTCAATGAGGTCACCAGCAGAGGCCAAACATTCATTCATTCATTTTCCTTCAGCTTAGTCCCTTTATTCATAAGGAATCGCCACAGCGGAATGAGCCGCCAACTTACCCAGCATGTGTTTTACACAAAGCTGCACCCTAGTACTGGAAAAAACCCATACACTCACATGCACACACATACACTACAGCCAATTTAGTCTATTCAATTGACCTATAGCACATATCTTTGGACTATAAGGGAAAACGGAGCACCAGAAGGAAACCCACGTGAACAAGAGGAAAACATGCAAACTCCACACAGAAATGCCTACTAACCGAGCCAGTGCTCGAACCAGTGACATTCTTGCTGTCAGGCGACAGTGCTAACCACTGAGCCACTGTGTTGCCCCATAGGCCTAACAATCATTCTTTAATATTTACAATGATGTATAGTTAGTTAAAATGAACGCAAACTTAATGTTTGAGTTGTATCTTGGTGTGTTTACTAACAAGTTGATTTTAAAATTGCTTTGGTCACGTGTTTATTTGGACAGCAGAAAGTTCATCTGTAATAAATCAGTGTCCAAACAAAGATGACAAACTGTTGTATCAATTACAATAACATTTCATTTTGTAGCTCTATTAAAATCTTAATTTGTCTTTTATGACACATCTCATTTTTCTCTCATTTTTCGACATATTCATGCTTAAATGCAAGGCCGGTTATTGAACTTTATTCTTTTGGTGTCCTTCACTTCAAAACGATTTCTGTTCCAGTCTCCTTCCTGCCCTCATTTACAAAACACTGCATGATTCAGTGCCCACTTCCACAGCACTGCATGCTAAATGTGATGAGGATGAAATAACAAACTCCATGGAAACATCTCACGTTGAGCATTGCAAACCAATAAGCACGTCCTTTCTAAAAAGTAAATTAACAGTAATGACCACATACGGTGGGAAATATATTAGAGCTACCCGTTGAAGACAAATCAAAGGCTGTCCAGACAATTACCAGAACATGGAACGGAATGCTTACTTTATTTAACCGCAGAAACTCAGTGTCCTGAAGTACAGGAAGAACACATTCACTCTCACTCTCCATCAGCCATCAGTAAAGGCATTTTACCTTCAACTTTTTTTATTGCTTTCCTAGAAATCCCATATTTATTGGTTTTAAATCATGGCAGTGACAGTGTTGTTTTAGTATCATTAAAATAACATACTGTAGTTAGTTTTCTCCTTTAACTTTAGTTATAAAATTATCCTTATGTTTAGTTTTGTTCATTTTCAAATATACAGTTATTGTTAGAATTATTAGCCCCCTAAATTATTACCCCCCTTGTTTATCTTTTAAAATTTTCCCTCAATTTCTGTTTAAAGGAGAGCTGATCTTTTCAACACATTTCTAAACATAATAATTCTAATAACTCACTTCAAATAACTGATTTATCTTATCTTTGCCATGATGACAGTAAATAATATTTGACTAGATATTTTTAAGACGCTTCTAAACAGTTTAATCTGACATTTAAAGGCTTTACTAGGTTAATTAAAGAGCCCATATTATGGGTTTTTGAAAATTCCCCTCCATGTAGTGTGTAACACAGCTCTAAGTGAAGTGAAGTATCCAGCTAAGGCTTAAATCTGTAAGAATATATACAGTATTTAAAATGGTTGATTCATCTATAAAAGAGTAGACTCATAGTGCTTCAAGCGAGTCGCCTTGATACCGAGTCATTAGGTGTTTCGCCATGACGTACGAACGAAACCAAGTTATTCACGTGCACTCGCAAACCCGGGAGATTTCAAACCTGAGGCCCCGCCCTCTGACGCAGAAACCCAGACACACACACACACACACACACACACACACACACACACCCACAAACACACGCACACAAACATGCCGGTCGATTGAAGTCACACTGCAGATGGATATATTGAGTCTCTACCCAAACATGAAACCTCAGCATTATAGCCAAGCAGTTGGAAACTTCTAGAAACTACATGCTACAAAGAATACTTCATCTGAGTTTGTTAAAGGAAGGATCAGTAAAGAGTAACTTACTGCTGGACGTCAGGATGGGTTTCTTCCATTTCTCAAGTGTAAGTACGTGCGGTTAAAGTTGTTGCCTCGTTGACTCTAGCTTGCAAATGTATTTAGTTGTGATTTGTTACTTGTAACCGAGTGTACTGTATCAGGTTAACTGGCTATATTCTCTTATCGCGTGCAAAGTCACGTTAAAAACGCGACGCGTGCTGCTTTGTTTATGGAGCTCCGTGCTAGAGTTCTGCTCCCGCGATTTATTCGGAAATTTATATTTATATTTATATATTTTTATATAATATTTTTATATAATAAATTTCCGAATAAATCGCGGGAGCGGTCGGTAACGGGTTTATTTTGGGACGGGAGCGGGCTGTCTAGCAATATCACGGATATTGCTATGCGAATGAGAATGAGAGAGTCTGCTTGGTGCTTGTGTGTGTGTGTGTGTGTGTGTGTGTGTGTGTGTGTGTGTGTTAGTGCGCACGCGCGCGTATGAGAGAGAGCGAGAGAGCGAGAGAGCGAGAGAGAGAGAGAGAGAGAGAGAGAGAGAGAGCGAGCGAACGAGCTTTGTGTGCTTGGTGCTGTGTGTGTGTTTATACAGACAGCTTGGCTGTCTGGACTGTATAGCTGGGTGAATTTTGGTTGTGTTCTCCCCCGCTCTAGCGGGATCGGGCGCGGCGAGCAGAAAACGGAGCGGGTTCTCAGGCTAAAACCTGGCGGGTGCGGGCGGAAGCGGGAGTGTTGTCGTCCGGAGGTGTGTGTGTGTGTTTTTGTGTGTGTGTGGCAGCTAAAATCCACGCCTACACTATCGAGCGTGTATGAACTGTGATTACTTTTTATATTGCTGATTGGCTATTGGCCATTTCACTCTCTGACTGAAGGCAGTCGACCAATCGCAACAGACTGTCATCGGTCCAATCAGCGCAGATTAGCTTCACGCTAAGGAGGGGTTTGGGAACAAATTAATCACTGGACGATTCATACAGGAGTCGCTAGAATAATTAGGTAAAAAAAAATGCAAATTATAAGACCATGAAAGTGTTTTTTGACCTTGCATGCATATTAGACTGTTGTTGGAGACCCTTACAACCAAGATATGACCCTATTTCATGTATAATATGGGGTCTTTAAGTTTACTAGACAGGGTAGGGTAATTAGGCAAGTTATTGTATAATAATGGTTTGTTGTAAACTACTGGAAAAATACAGCTTAAAGGGGCTAATAACTTTGTCTTTAA